AAACTCAAAAGATCTGCAAGTTCTCTCCAACGAGCCAGCACTACAAACATAGGTTGAAAAAAAAAACCTTCCACCCAAGTACCTAGTGTACCTCAAACTAAACCAAACCCTTCCACACACTATCCTATAACTCGATCCGTTTCAAGAGACCGTATCAATTTGGTATCAATGCCTAATGTTATGGGAGACCCTATTTAGCAACAATTGCAGCAACTTTTACAATTGTTCCAAGATGAACATGTAGTCAATTTGACATAACAAAAAGCAATAAATGCTCGACTGGATGAACTCACCAGGGATTTAGCAGCTTCCAAAGTTAATACCATATCTACAGAGGAGGGCAGTAACAACCAAAACCATAAAGGCAAAGGCATCACAAAAGGGACAGAATCCGAAACCACAGGGGTAGACACCATCATCCCTAAGTTCACAAAGTAGGATTTTCCACGATTTAATGGCCAAGAAGATCTTTTAGGGTGGTTGAGCAAGTGCGGGCATTTCTTTCACCACCAACAAACACTTGAAAAAGAAAAGGTAAGCCTTGCCTCTTTCCACTTGGAGGGGAATGTGCAGCTATAGTTCCTTCCAATGGAAGTTGACATGCCGCAACCTTCTTAGGATGAATTCAAGTGTCAATGTCACCTGCGATTTGGCCCACCTATAAGGAGTAATAAGTTGGGAGAATTGACGAAATTGCGACAAAGTGGTTCTGTGGTAAATTACCAAGAAAAATTTGAGCAATTGGCTTCATGGGCAAGCACTCTCACTCAAGCACAAAAAATTGAACTTTACATCAGTGGCCTTGCGAAATATATTGCAGTCGAAATAGAGCTCCACAATTTGTCAGATTTAGCAATTGCAATAAGTATATCTCAACTCTATGAATGCAAGGGACAGCCCACTCAGACACCAATATCAAAGGTTCGACGATCAAAACCCCCTAATACACCACTTCAATACCATACGAGATTTGTGAAAAAATTGACCAAGGCTGCAATGGAGGAGAGGCAGCTTAAAGGTCTTTGCTTCAATTGTGATGAGCCATTTGTCAAAGGCCATTAATGTAAGAAATTATTCTGAATTGACTCAGTTGAAGGAGGAGATGAAGAGCAAACCGAATATGAGTCACCCCTTAATAGTGATCAATTGGAGATATCATTGAATGCCATCATTGGTTTTAGTACTCCTCAGAACACGTGTTTACAACGCAAATTGAATGGTAACCCAACTCTGACCTTAGTAAACTTCGGTAGTACTCACATTTTTTCTAAACTCCAAATTTGTATCGTAATTTAATCTCCAAGTGAAAAGACGATATGGATTGTGGGTTGTGGTTGCAAATGGAAAGAGAATTAAAAGTCTAGGTCAATGCAAGGGAATGTCACTCCAGTTAGGCAATCACACTTTCTTTGTTGATTTATATGTTCTCACTTTAAGCAATTTTGATGTTGTATTAGGTGTCAATTGGTTAAAGACTTTAGGACCCATCTTGTGGGACTTTACAAATATGTGGATGTCTTTTACTAAAGTTGGGAAACAGATAGAATTACATGGAATTAAAACTTCCAAACCAGCCCAAAGTGTTGAGATTCAAGTTGTTATAACAGAAGAGGATTACCATGTTGATTTACAATGACTCCTATAGGATTTTGTTTTCTTATTCCAAGAACCCATGGGCCTTCCTCCATGTGCATGGGATCATCGAATTATTTTGGAACTTGAGGCCAAAACAAATAGTTGTCAAAGCATATCGATATCCACATGCCCAGAAAGATGAAATTGAGCAACAATGTTCCGAGATGTTGAAGCAAGGGATAATTCAGCCCAGTCAATCCCCATTGTCATCTCCAGTGCTCCTTGTTCCTAAGTCAGACGCTACTTGGCGCATGTGCATAGATTATCAGGAATTGAATGCAAAGACAATCAAAGACAAATTTCCCATTCCAGTGATTGAGGAATTGTTGGAGGAATTATTCAGAGCAAAGTATTTCTCTAAATTGAATCTACGGTCAGGCTATCACCAAATTCAAATGAATGAAACTGATGTAGAAAAAACAGCTTTTCGAACACACCATGGCCACTTTGAATTTCGAGTCATGCCTTTCGAGTTAACAAATGCCCCATCTACTTTCCAGGCCCTAATGAATGAGGTATTCCATCCTCACTGAAAAAAATTTGTTCTAGTGGTTTTTGATGATATACTAGTTTACAGTCGTACCTAGATATAGCACATGTATCACTTGCAGATCGTTTTCAAATTACTCTCAAAACATCACCTTTTCTTGAAATGATCTAAATGCTCATTTGCCCAAACTCAAATTACTTATTTGGGCCACATCATTACTGTCGAAGGATTTATTGCAAATGCAAGCAAAATTTCAGCCATGAAAGAATGGCCCAAGCCTTCAACTGTTCGAGGGTTACGAGGTTTTTTAGGTCTCATTGGATACTACCGCAAGTTTGTTCATAACTATGGTTCTATTGCAGCACCTCTTACAGCCATGTTTCGTAAAAATTCCTTCATATGGACAGACCAATCGTCTCAAGCTTTCGAAAAACTTAAGGCTTCCATGACCACCACGCCTATGTTAGCACTTCCTAATTTTTCTCAACCATTTACAATTGA